TGGTAGTTTTTTTCTAGGCGATTTTATGTTCAGTAGTTTGCCATTGCCTTGTGAACAGAAGATGTTTCTTACCATTGTCAAAACCAATGCAAAGGGATCTGTTGTGCCAAAATGTCTTCAGCCAAATTGAATCTGGTATTACAGAGTTATAAACTACTTACATAACCCATAAGCCTCTTAGGTATATACAGTTAGTAATGTATGTTAAATGCACATTAACATTTTTATATATTTGAAAATATCCATAGGCTTGGGAGTATGGTATACCACTATGCAAGGAGCTGGCTGATCATTACGAGAAAACATATGAGTACAGAAAGCTTGGGCAGATATTGGTAGGTAATGTGTTCCTTGTGTCTGTCTTGTTATTCTGTGTTTGTCCTTTAAATGGATGGTTGGTATGATGTTGGCACAATGTTTTATGGTTTACAATTAGGCTGTGATATCTTCACCTTTGGACACAATTTATATCAGATTCTCCAACCCTCTTCAGTTATTTCAGCCTCTATCCTTTTTCTCAGCCGTATTTCTATTTTTTAATGTATCTGTTTTATTAGTATATATAATATACTATAATTATATATATATATCTATATATAATATATATATATATATATAATATATATATGATCTATATATATAATAGTTATATAGATATATATATATATATATATATATATATATAAATATATATATTATATATATATAAATATAATATATAGATATATATATATTTTATTATATATATACATATTTTTTTTTTTGTAATAAAAAAACAATTTTGAAATATTTATGTATATATGGTGATTGTGGCTTTGTAGCAGCTAGATGATCGCCTGTGGTTCAGAATGTCCTGGGTTCAGGTCCTGGCAGTAGCAGACTTTTTTTTAAAAATTATCTTGACTGCCAGGTTGACCCAGCCTCGAATAGATACCAGGTAAAATCCTGGGAATTAAAGGCTGCTGACGTGATGCTGACCACAGAACCTACCAAGTGCCGATTGGTCTATAAAATGTAGGTCTAGCCCTATATGCCCAGTACACCTGAAGGCATGGAAAAGTGTTCTTTACTATGTATGTCTGTATCTTTTTTTCTTTTCATTTCTTTATCTTGCTACTTTTTTTATCTAAAGAACTGTCTGTCGAATAGTCCTTCATATAAATTTAACTCAGCGTGGACTCTTATCAGTTGGTCATGTCCCTTTCTGTATTATTTTTTTCTTCTGACTTTCATTTGTCTTTATGTTTTTTCCCTTCATATATCTTGTTATCTATCTCTTTATCTTTCTCTGTTTGCTTATTTTTTTTTTGCTTTTATTTGTCTGAGGCTCAACATGTTGCCTCTTTTGTTTGTTCTTGTTCCCTGTCTCTCTCTGTTGTTTGTTCTTGTTCCCTGTCTCTGTTTGTTCTTGTTCCCTGTCTCTGTTGTTTTTTCTTGTTCCCTGTCTCTCTCTGTTGTTTGTTCTTGTTCCCTATCTCTTATGTTTGTTCTTATTCCCTGTCTCTGTTGTTTGTTCTTGTTCCCTGTCTCTCTCTGTTGTTTGTTCTTGTTCCCTGTCTCTGTTGTTTGTTCTTGTTCCCTGTCTCTGTGTTTGTTCTTGTTCCCTGTCTCTGTTGTTTGTTCTTGTTCCCTGTCTCTGTTGTTTGTTCTTGTTCCCTGTCTCTGTTGTTTGTTCTTGTTCCCTGTCTCTGTTGTTTGTTCTTGTTCCCTGTCTCTCTCTGTTGTTTGTTCTTGTTCCCTGTCTCTGTTGTTTAACAGAAGGATTCCCTGTCAGTGTTGTTTGTTCTTGTTTCCCTGTCTCTTGGTCAACAGAAATGTAACAGTATCATGTCTCTATGACAGTTTATCTGACTCTAAGATATAGGTTCTTGAGCCCTGGAGCACCTAGGAGTGTGCCCCAAGCGCTGCGATCTAATGACAAATTTTGTACAAAGCGTTTTTGTCCATCTACCTGCCTGTGTCTTAGAGTTCTGTCTGTCTGCCTGTCAGTCTGGGTTTTTTTAAATCTCTTCTAGATATTTGTCTGTCTGTTCATCTGCCTACCTTTCTGTCTCTATCTAGATGTTTATATGTTTTTATATCTGTCTGCATGTATGCTTCCCTGTCTGTTTCTGCTTTGTCATGTCTCCCCTCTCACTCTCTCTCTCTCTCTCTCTCTCCTCTTTCTTGGAAAGGATGGAGCTCTCTCTCTCTCTCTCTCTCTCTCATCTCTCTCTCTCAACTCTCTCTCTCTCTCTTGTTTGCTGTAGTGATTCGGTTTTTTTAAATCTCTTCTAGATATTTGTCTGTCTGTTCATCTGCCTACCTTTCTGTCTCTATCTAGATGTTTATATGTTTTTATATCTGTCTGCATGTATGCTTCCCTGTCTAATTCTCTTTGTCTCTGTCTCCCCTCTCACTCTCTCTCTCTCTCTCTCTCTCTCTCTCTTTCTCTCTCTCTCTCTCTCTCTCTCTCTCTCTCTCTCTCTCTCTCTCTCTCACTCTCTCTCTCTCTCTCTTGTTTGCTGTAGTGATTCGGTATTCTCAGTATAAATTTTCATTTGTTTCTCAGCAAAAGCAAGCTTACTTCTTGTATCAGATTTTGGAAGGAAATAAGCTGCGTCAGAAGCCATCATACTACAGAGTGGCATATTTTGGCAACACTTTTCCTACTTACCTCAAGGTTAGCTATTTTTTTGTGTGTGTGTGTATAGCTTTGATTATGTAACAGTTTGATTGAAGTCAGAATCCCCATGCTTTGGCAGTTAATTATAGTTGGGTTGTGAATTGGTGGGCCTCCAAAGTTCTAGGCCACAGGAAGAAGCCAAGGTCGGTTCTCTTCCTCATTGCCTATCTTTCCTATGCAGTTTCCAGAAAATTGCTGACCATTTTTGTGTCATTGTAATGCAGTGCTTACTCCATTGGCTAGCTAGCACAGTCATGTTAATTAAATCTCTAGTATGTTTTTTTCAGTTTTTTTTTTTTACTCCTGTGTATGATATTTGGATGTTGTTGTCCTAATATGTGGAGGATTGAATGTGGATGTGAACGAGTTTTGTGTGATAGTGTGGGACTGTTGTTTCTGCTTGTGTGTATATAGATGTGTGAACTAATGTGTATATGTGGTAAACATAAGATCTGGCTTACAAGTAGATCTGTTGTACAAATCAACTTCAAGATTTTTAGCTCAAAAGGTTGTTAGGCCTATACTTACCTAATGCATGTATTAGTTGTTAAGTAAGTTGATCTCTAGTTTTGAGAAAGCTTTTCAAGTCAAGGCTTGGAAGCTTGACACAATTTACTGTAGATATATTGGCTGCTGTATGCAGACGTGGGAATTAATCTATACAGATTTATTGACCGTTGTATGTAGATTATTAACATCGAAGTATTGTACAGTAAAACGCCTGTATTGATATGATTTCACACTCAGAACAAAGCTTTCATCTATCGTGGTGATGAGTGCCTGAAATTATCTACAATCATGAACCATCTGATGACTGAATACCCATCGGCAAACATACTAACTACCAACTCTCCTCCTGATGCATCTTACAAGCTGGGAGATCATCAGTGTAAGTTTTTGATGTTTACAATACACCCTCCTTACAGAGAGATACATTAATCTCCTTACCAGAGAGCTTGCAAACATTCTCATTGGAAAAGCAAGAACTAATATCAATGACTTCCATTTAGAACATGCTGAAGTGCCACAGACTGTTGGAATGGGTAAATATGGTTTGAGGGCACCATTCTGCATGTCGGCAAGATGTTGTCTATATCTGCCCACTATCTGTAACTCTGTTTCACCAATGTATTTCATGCAACATCTTTTGGTACTGAGTGAGATGAATATATTTTATTTCAGTTAAGGGAAATAATTTCTTTGCCTCATCTGATTCAATTATGTTCCTATATTAGGCACTTGATGAGGTACAGTGAAATATAAAAAGTTAGTTGCGTATCCTTTACTGAACATTGCAATAAAATATAAAAAGTTAGTAGCATTTCCTTTACTGAAATTTGCAGTGAAATATAAAAAGTTAGTTGCATATACTTTACTGAACATTGCAGTGAAATATAAAAGCAGGATCGTAACCTCAGGGACATTCTAGTCAAGAGTTAGTTATGTCCCATGTGTGACCCCCACTTCGGCACTGTCTCTTGCCACAGACCTATATGCAGGACCTGTCCATATGTGATCAAGGTGGCTAGTCTAGAATTCCCTAACATCACCTTCCACACACATTAAGCAATCTATTGTACCAGCCGCAATGTCATTTATGCCATCAAGTGCAAGAGATGTGGCAAGAAATACGTTGGTGAAACAGGTCTACGGCTGGCTGACAAGTTCAGACAACATCTTTTGGATGTGCAAAGTGGGGCTCTGAAACCAGTACCGTTGCACAATGCACTTCAATTCCAAGGATCACCAAGGTGTCCACGATATGGAGGTGACAGCAATTAAATCCAGCCACTCCAGCGACAGAGTCTGCAAGTCTCTTGAAAATCGCTTTATTTATACTCTGGGGACTTTAACATCCTCTGGACTGAATTGCCAACACAGTTTTATTTAAACTCCCAGGGGAGTTTTATCTCTATCCCCCTAGTTATGGCCCCTGGTACTCCAAGGGGTATTTATTCCCCTAGCCGACACATGTAGGCATTCTGCTGAGAAACCACCAACCCGGCTGCTTCAAGATACCAGCTAAGTGATTTTGTGCATCTGTGTAGTATTGTTTAATTTGTATGTGCTGATGAAGGCTCCATAGCCGCAACGTTCACATTTTGTTTGTATTCGTTATATTGTGAAGTTTGCTAATTTACTTTTCATTCGGTTTTATATCTTTTCTTGAGTGCCTAAGCCACAGACACAGTGAAAAAGGACAGGCAATACATTGAGCGGTCTGTTGTTTGTGTCTTCCTTGTTCAGATTAACAGTAGGACACATTTTATCTAGACAATTGTCATAAACCATGCAACATTTTTGTGTTTGTTTTATGAAAACTTATCTTATGCAGATATCCAGATTGTCAGTGTTAAGCCAGTCGCCCCTGAACGGCCAGAGTTTGCAGGCAAGGATGTGCCCAGTGAAATCACTTCTTTCTACTACGATAATGAGGTTGATATGTTCCAGTTTGATAGGCCATACCACAGGGAAGGAAAGGATAAAAACAATGAATTTAAGGTTTGCATTTTCTGTATATTTTATGTGTGTCAGCAGGTCTTTCTTCCTTTTTTTTTTTTTTGCCACCTAGAAAAAAACAAAAACAAGGTTTCAGTACTCACCACAGTGTCTTTATTAAAAGGTGCCAGTACTCACCACAGTGTCTTTAAAAAAAGGTGCCAGTACTCACCACAGTGTCTTTAAAAAAAGGGTGCCTGTACTCACCACAGTGTCTTTAAAAAAGGGTGCCAGAAGTCACCACAGTGTCTTAAAAAAAAAATGCCTGTACTCACCACAGTGTCTTTAAAAAAGGGTGCCAGAACTCACCACAGTGTCTTTAAAAAAGGGTGCCAGAACTCACCACAATGTCTTTAAAAAAAGGGTGCCTGTACTCACCACAGTGTCTTTAAAAAAAAAGGTGCCAGTACTCACCACAGTGTCTTTAAAAAAGGGTACCAGAACTCACCACAGTGTCTTTAAAAAAGGGTGCCAGAACTCACCACAGTGTCTTTAAAAAAGGTGCCAGTACTCACCACAGTGTCTTTAAAAAAAGGGTGCCTGTACTCACCACAGTGTCTTTAAAATATGGTGCCAATACTCAAAACAGTGTCTTCAAAAAAAAGGGTGCCAGTACTCACCACAGTGTCTTTAAAAAAAAGGGTGCCAGTACTCACTACAGTGTCTTTAAAAAAATGTGCCAGTACTCACCACAGTGTTTTTAAAAAAAGGGTGCCAGTACTCACCAGAGTGTTTTTTAAAAAAGGTGCCAGTACTCACCATAGTGTCTTTTTAAAAAAGGTGCCAGTACTTACCAGAGTGTTTTAAAAAAAAGGGTGCCAGTACTCACCACAGTGTATTTAAAAAAAGGGTGCCAGTACTCACCAGAGTGTTTTTTAAAAAAGGTGCTAGTACTCACCATAGTGTCTTTTAAAAAAGGTACCAGTACTCACCACAGTATTGTTTTTAAAAAAGGGTGCCAGTACTCACCATAGTGTCTTTTAAAAAAAGGTGCCAGTACTCACCACAGTGTCTTTAAAAAAAAGGGTGCCAGTAATCACCACAGTGTTTTTAAAAAAAGGTGCCAGTACTCACCACAGTGTTTTTAAAAAAAAATTGTGCCTGTACTCACCACAGTGTCTTTAAAAAAAAGGTGCCAGTACTCACCAGAGTGTTTTTTTTAAAAAGGTGCCAGTACTCACCATAGTGTCTTTTAAAAAAAGGTGCCAGTACTCACCACAGTGTTTTTAAAAAAAGGGTGCCAGTACTCACCACAGTGCCTTAAAAAAAAGGGTGCCAGTACTCACCACAGTGTCTTTAAAAAAGGGTGCCAGAACTCACCACAGTGTCTTTAAAAAAGGGTGCCTGTACTCACCACAGTGTCTTTAAAAAAAGGTGCCAATACTCAAAACAGTGTCTTCAAAAAAAGGGTGCCAGTACTCACCACAGTGTCTTTAAAAAAATATGTCAGTACTCACCACAGTGTTTTTAAAAAAAAGGTGCCAGTACTCACCAGAGTGTTTTTTTAAAAAGGTGCCAGTACTCACCATAGTGTCTTTTAAAAAAAGGTGCCAGTACTCACCACAGTGTTTTTAAAAAAAGGGTGCCAGTACTCACCACAGTGCCTTAAAAAAGGGTGCCAGTACTCACCAGAGTGTTTTTTAAAAAAGGTGCCAGTACTCACCATAGTGTCTTTTAAAAAAGGTACCAGTACTCACCAGAGTGTTTTTTAAAAAAAGGGTGCCAGTACTCACCACAGTGTTTTTAAAAAAAAGGGTGCCAGTACTCACCATAGTGTCTTTTAAAAAAAGGTGCCAGTACTCACCACAGTTTTTTTTTAAAAAAAGGTGCCAGTACTCACCACAGTGTCTTTAAAATAAGGGTGCCAGTACTCACCACAGTGTTTTAAAAAAAAGGTGCCAGTACTAACCACAGTGTTTTTAAAAAAAATTGTGCCAGTACTCACCACAGTGTCTTTTAAAAAAAATGTGCCAGTAGTTACTTCAGATTGTGTTTAAACAAAGGTACTAGTACTCATCACAATTTGTCTTTAAAAAAAGATGCCAGTACTTACCATAAAGTATCTATTGCAGTATTGCTAAAAAATGATCCCTAAAAAGGTGTTGGTACTGTGCACTGTACCGAAAGAAAAAAGCTCTACATGGCAGCATCTGCAACCTAAGGGTTATGAATACAGTTTAATAATTTTGACACACAGGGTTCAATTCACCTGCAGACAATTTAGCGGAAAATCTTTGTGCTGATTTCCACAGTAGTATGAATGTTAATCATTCAAAAAGCAGTGGTGAACTACTGAGCATAAAATTACCTAGTAAAACCAAAGTCAATCCTAGGATTTATTTTCCTGTAAAGGTTATGCGTCTGACCTTTTTTTCTTAAATATTGTACATAGCGAGGGTCAGCATCTGTTGTTTAGGTGTTGCAAATGTGCTTCATAATGCCGGGGTGCCACGTTCAATCCCAACTATGGTACCGAGAGCTGAATATTCAGAAAACAATAGCAAACTACTAAATGTAAAATTTGCCTAGAAAAACCACAACAGCCAAAAAATGTTGGTGTTGGTTTTGCAATGTCCTATAAAGGATATGCAACAAACATTCACATAGTGAGGAGATAGGCAATGCCAAATAGATCTCTTGTTGGCACTGTCAAGTAGATCACTTTTTGACACTGTCATGCTGATCTCTTGTTGGCAGTGTCGAGTAGATCTCTTGTTGGCAGCGTCGAGTAGATCTCTCATTGGCACTGTCAAGTAGATCTCTCATTGGCACTGTCAAGTAAATCTCTTGTTGGCACTGTCAAGTAGATCTCTTGTTGGCACAGTCAACTAAATCTCTTGTTGGCATTGTCGAGTAGATCTCTTGTTGGCAGCGTCGAGTAGATCTCTCATTGGCACTGTCAAGTAGATCTCTTGTTGGCACTGTCAAGTAGATCTCTTGTTGGCACTGTCAAGTAGATCTCTTGTTGGCACTGTCGAGTTGATCTCTCATTGGCACTGTCAAGTAGATCTCTTGTTGGCACTGTCAAGTAGATCTCTTGTTGGCACTGTCAAGTAGATCTCTTGTTGGCACTGTCAAGTGGATCTCTTGTTGGCACTGTCAAGTAGATCTCTTGTTGGCACTGTCAAGTAGATCTCTTGTTGGCACTGTCAAGTAAATCTCTTGTTGGCACTGTCAAGTGGATCTCTTGTTGGCACTGTCAAGTAGATCTCTTGTTGGCACTGTCAAGTGGATCTCTTGTTGGCACTGTCAAGTAGATCTCTTGTTGGCACTGTCAAGTAGATCTCTTGTTGGCACTGTCAAGTGGATCTCTTGTTGGCACTGTCAAGTAGATCTCTTGTTGGCACTGTCAAGTAGATCTCTTGTTGGCACTGTCAAGTAGATATCTTGTTGACACTGTCAACTAGATCTCTTGTTGGCATTGTCGAGTGGATCTCTTGTTGGCACTATCAAGTAGATCTCTTGTTGGCACTGTCAAGTAGATCTCTTGTTGGCACTGTCAAGCAGATATCTTGTTGACACTGTCAACTAGATCTCTTGTTGGCATTGTCGAGTAGATCTCTTGTTGGCAGCGTCGAGTAGATCTCTCATTGGCACTGTCAAGTAGATCTCTTGTTGGCACTGTCAAGTAGATCTCTTGTTGGCATTGTCAAGTAGATCTCTTGTTGGCACTGTCAAGTAGATCTCTTGTTGGCACTGTCAAGTAGATCTCTTGTTGGCATTGTCAAGTAGATCTCTTGTTGGCACTGTCAAGTGGATCTCTTGTTGGCACTATCAAGTAGATCTCTTGTTGGCACTGTCAAGTAGATCTCTTGTTGGCACTGTCAAGTGGATCTCTTGTTGGCACTGTCAAGTGGATCTCTTGTTGGCACTGTCAAGTGGATCTCTTGTTGGCACTGTCAAGCAGATATCTTGCCCTGTAACACAATTTGAGGGTTAGCTTACACTTTATTAATGCTTCCTTCATCTTAAACCTATGATCCCACCTGTATGTTAATAGTGTCCTGTGGAAAGTAAAGAATTGTAACTTATAAGAGGTAACTAAGAGTTTTTCTTTGTGTTGACTACCTCATCCCAGAGAGGCAACTAAGAGTTTTTCTTTGTGTTGACTACCTCATCCCAGAGGGGCAACTAAGAGTTTTTCTTTGTGTTGACTACCTCATCCCAGAGAGGCAACTAAGAGTTTCTTTGTGTTGACCACCTCATCCCAGAGAGGCAACTAAGAGTTTTTCTTTATGTTGACTACCTCATCCCAGAGAGGCAACTAAGAGTTTTTCTTTATGTTGACTACCTCATCCCAGAGAGGCAACTAAGAGTTTTTCTTTGTGTTGACTACCTCATCCCAGAGAGGCAACTAAGAGTTTTTCTTTGTGTTGACCACCTCATCCCATAAAAAAAAATCTTTAGCCATTAAAACCAAACAACTTTGAATAATAGAAAGGTGGCTTGAGTTGGTTGAGAGGCTCTGCTACACTGGAGAGTAAATACCAAAAGAAGAAAAAGGGACTCCTGAGGCTCACTGGTGCCATGTTTTTCTGCAGATTAGTACCAGCTTATAACAACAACAAAGACCACCCAGTTATACGGTAGATACACTAGTAACTACAGAAAGAAATTGAATGGGTGTTAACACAGAGCTTCCATGACTTGGGTAAAGATTGTAAGTTTATAACATCATTTCCTGTAAAGAATGACCTGCTAACCACACTTCTGAGGACAAACACAGAACTATAGCTCCACTATATCTTTCCTTTACCAGACATTGTGCTTGGAAAGGACCATCATGCAAACAAGCTACAAGCTGCCAGGAATTCTCAGATGGTATGAAGTAACCAGCACCAAGGTTGTCCATCTTGGACCAGTGCAGACTGCTTCAGATACAGTCAAGCAGATGAATGCGGAGCTGAAATCCAGCTCAGAGAATGCTGAGGCAGATCCAGAACACTGCTTGAGGCATTTGGAGATGAGGCTGCAGGGAGTCATCAGTGGGGCTGTCAATGGTGGCATTCCCAAGTATCAAGAGGTGGGTCTGATAAGACTGATTGTCTCTGGTTTCATTGTTTTTCTTATTTCTTTCAGTGCCAGACAGCTCTTCTTCTTCTTCTTCCTCATCCTTCTTTTTCTTCCTCCTGCTCCTCCACCTTATTCTTATTTTTCTGCTGCTGCTTCTTATTCTTCTTCTTTTCTCCTTCTCCTTTGGGAATTTCCCTGTAAACTCATGTGGGAAATCTTGGATGTTTGTCCACTTCTGGACTTGGGTCTTGTTGCAGAACTGGAGGGTTGCTTACACATACATTTTTCTGATCTGGTTTATTTGTATGCAGATTGTTGGTTCCTAGCTCTCATGCAGACGCATGCAGACTTCAAAAGAAACAGTGATCCTATTTATGTTGGCCAGACTCCTGGTTGTTTCTAGGATGACCACAGAAAGGTGAAAATATGTCTTGACCAGTATGACCCCTGGTCTTGCTGCATCACCATGTGTGGTTCAGCACCTTTGTATTCCTGGCAACTCAAAATACATTCTTTGTTTTACTTTTTTTTTTTTTAATTGTTATTTTTTGTTTGTTTTTATGACGGATATACAATCAGAAAGTTACTGGTACCATGGGAATTGGAACTCTTCACTTGCTGCTGAAGATGGGGACCGAGCACTTATTGAAGTGTCCCGAGTGCTGTGATGTCAATTCTTAATTCAACATTCTACATTCAACATTTTTTTTATGGTCCTTGTTTCTTTAGCTTTCTCTCACATTCTTCGGTTATCCTCCGAATAACGATCCCAAATTATCAAGGCTGAAAATATAACCTAACAGGGCCTCAGTCACATGTCAATTGCGGACTTCTGGCGACTTAAATTGCGAATTACTGCCACCACCGAGAGAATCTCCTACGCCGCTATGTGCGGTTTGGATCGGGGCTAAACTAGATGGCTGGGACTCACGAGCAGCAGCTACCGCATCTCCTGCAGCTTCCTTCATTTTATTTTCTCGTGAATCCCAGCCATCTAGTTTAGCTCCGCTCCACACCTTGCGTAGCGGCATGGGAGATTCTCTCGGTGGTGGCGGATTGTAGCCGGAAGTCCTCAATTGACATGTGACTGAGGCCCTGTTAGGGTATATTTTCGGCCTCTATAATTTGGGACCGTTATTCGGACGAAAGCCCATTCTTCTGTTACCTTATCCAATTCCATCTCATTTTTACTATAACCCATTTTGTCATAAAGCTGTATATTTCATTTTCATAAGACTTCAAATGTAAGGTACAGACACTTTAGGATAAACAGTGTTGAAGATACAACTGCCTCATCCCGAAAGATGGTGGCAGTGAATCCACATCACTAACCAGAATGGCAGACTTGGGAATTAAGATCGGCACAGCAAAAAATGAGACGCACACCAGACACGCCAGAAGACTTGTTAATCAACATAGAACTGGTACTATTAGCCATCGGACATTGGGGTTCATACTGAGGGGAGGATCTGAGCACCTATGGACATGTCCGGAGTGCAATGAGGATAACCCAACTAACTAACTAACTAACTAACTAACTAACTAACTAACTAACTAACTAACTAACTAACTAACTATCTAACTAACTAACTAACTAACTAACTAACTAACTAAACTAACTAACTAACTAACTAACTAACTAACTAACTAACTAACTAACTAACTAACTAACTAACTAACTAACTAACTAACTAACTAACTAACTAACTAACTAACTAACTAACTAACTAACTAACTAACTAACTAACTAACTAACTAACTAACTAACTAACTAACTAACTAACTAACTAACTAACTAACTAACTAACTAACTAACTAACTAACTAACTAACTAACTAACTAACTAACTAACTAACTAACTAACTAACTAACTAACTAACTAACTAACTAACTAACTAACTAACTAACTAACTAACTAACTAACTAACTAACTAACTAACTAACTAACTAACTAACTAACTAACTAACTAACTAACTAACTAACTAACTAACTAACTAACTAACTAACTATCCGAAAGAGTGTATGGTAGCTCTTTTTTTCTTCTCTTTATTTCTTTTTCTAAATATTGTAATTTTAACTTATATGTAGGTTTATTTATGCTCATGCTTTATTTAAAAAAACCAAAAACTACAGTTGTTAAGCTATTCACAGAAAGGAAATGGGCTGTCTCCACAAGGTCACCAACAACACTAGATGAGACTGGGTTATAAATACCAGCATTAGAGAGAAAATTGGAATAAGACCATGTCTGGATTACATTGAAGATAAAGAATGAAATCGTTTGGCCATCTAGTGAGACGCAGCCAGACAAGACTGCAAATGAGACTTTTTTACAGTAAAATGTCTAGGAGGAAGGCGAGGGGAAGACCAAGAAAGAGATAAATAAATGGTGTAGATGAAACCTGTGAAAAGTTGAACACAACCATCACTTAAGCCACCCGAGAAGCGCAAGACAAATACAGAAAACCACAACACTGGGTTACAATCTGGTAACAGAGAGATGACACAAGAAGAAGAAGAAGAATAAATGTGTCTAAGTGCTAGTTAATATCTCTTTCATTGTGTTATTCGTGACTGTATCACCATGGATAAAATATTGTTACCAATTAGTTTTGCAGCTTCATGAAGCTAAAATAGGAATATATTGATTTTATTTTTATTTATTATGTTGAACAAACTTAATTTTTACCATTAATCTGTTTCTTTTCTCCTGTCTTTAAGGCATTTTTCAATAAAGAGTACATTGCTAATTATCCTGATGAAACACCTTACATTGAAGAACTGAAGTCAGATATCCTTGAACAGGTTAGTCAAACTGCACCAGCAAGAAAGTTGAAATAAAAATGTTGCAATCATGAAAGTTTGAACAACAGATCAACATCATATCACACAGGTGGTAACCTATAAGTGCTCTGTTCTTAGTCTAACTCAGGTCTGAGTCTGAAAAAGCTCAGCACAGTGCACAGGCTCTGTAGCACCTGTTAGGGTTAAAATACTTTTGGGTAGACTTTTGACTCCAAACTTTGCCTGGGCAGCCCCGTTAGGCTACTCTTTTTGATTTCCATCTGCCAAGGGATTTTTTATGTGTGCAACAATGCACATGGGCGTCCAATCTCACTATCCAGAGACCAAGGGAATTACTAGAAGTCCAAGTCTGTGTGAAATAATCCCAGCCCTTACTGGGGATTGAACTCGGACCCTCTAGCACTCGAGGCGGACACCATGCCTCGAGACCATGCAGCCACTATTGAAATCATGAATCTTTCCCTTGACAACATATGGATGTGAGTCATAGACTGCTACTTATTAAAGAAATAATTTTTAGCTTTTGAACTGAAGTGCTACAGAAAAGTTCTTATAATACCATGGACCAAGAAGAAGAAAAACACAAACATCTTACATGATCTGAGTGTCGAGGAGAATTGACTCATTAACAGCATCTTTTCCTGAAAGCTGAGATATTTTGGCCATGTTAAATGTCATAGTGGCACGGAGAAAATATTGATGGAGGGTACAGTTTCCGGGAAACGAGGCAAAGGCAGATCTCCTTCAAGGTGGATACAAGATATTGAAAATGCATTGGCTATGAAGTCACATAGGGTTGGAGAATAGGCTAGAGAAAGAGAGAGACTTTCAGGTGTGCTTTGACAAGAGTGATGTTCTGTAAAGTGCCTGCTGATTTGATGCTGAGACATTATGAACAAATGATCGATTTTCATGGCTATAGGTATATTAATTATTTGGTAAGTAAAATATAAATGTCAAGGACCGTTTTCCATAATTCAGGCACATTGGGCATATAGAGTTAGACCTATGTTTTGTAGACTAATCGGCACTCGGTGGTTGATGAGGTCAGCATCACGCCGGGTGCCTTTATTTCCCAGGACTGAACCTGGTACCCACTCAAGACTGGGTTGACCTGGGAGCTAGAGTCATTTTAAATGGGTCCCCAGAACCCACACAGTGATTTCCATACCTGATACTGCCAATTAAGGTAATCCAATGTTTCACTCTGCTAAATAGAGATCATTTCAGACCTAATACTACTAACCTGGCAAATATCCTTGACGGATATACAAAGTATTACCCTGATGTACCTGCTGTCTGTGGTGGGTTTAGAGCAAAATGTATAGAGGAATCTTTTGCTCTTCAACCCTCTGTATGAAGCTTTGGCTGCAGGTAAGAGTCAGAGGTTGAAAAGAGAAAAAAATTGGGAATGGCTCAAGCAGAAGACACAATAAGACAAGTTTGCATGCTGGAGAACATTGAGCGAGGAGAGGAGTGGGTCAGAGTACCAGTGAAAAAGTCTGACCACTGTTGGGTTATGATCATATCGGGCCGGGAGCACAGAGTGGCCAGCGGGTGCTTCGAAGGTGGATGTCGAACAGCTTATTAACGACAGTTCACACCCAGGTGATCTGATTATCTATACAGATGGTTCAGTGTTGAGAGTAAAGAGAAGTGCTTCTGGGTTCGTAGTGAAAGCCAGAGGAAAATCTTTAGTGCAAGACAGCCTAGCATACGACACCACAACATCTGGCATGAGAATGGAGGTGGAGGCAGTAACTGCAGCTCTCTGGTGGCTACAGAACAAAATGCATTCACATGTTGTAATTGTACCAGACTCTGAAAGCATGCTCAGAAAGGTGAAGACAGGGATGCTTTGAGTAGAGTGGAAAGCTTCACTGGAAAGGTCATGGGTAATGAGCATACTTTGGATCTTTTTTTCAAGGTCATGCCAGCGTGGGGGGTAATGAACAGGCAGACAGATTGGCTGGATCTGCACTACTAGGTGGTGAATTGATACATGACAAAGCAGATGTGGTCATATTGGAACAAGCAACTAAATCAGTAGAGAAACAAGATTATAATAGCCTGGAGAGAATGAGGCACCTGGGTGTAACCAGAGGGTCTGGGTGGCTCACTACACTCAGAGGCGGACAAAAAACTAGATTATGATCAGTACCATCAGTATTACAACTCTGCGCTGGCTGCTGAAAATGAGGACGGAGCACACATAAAATGCCCTTAGTGCTGTGATGTCAATTCTTGTGACTAAATTCAACTCCTGCTCTTTAACAGTTAAAATAATAGGTGTGTGAAACAAAAACAGTTTATTATAATGTCATGACACTTTCGACATTTTAATTTTTTTTTTCCTAAACCAGATTAAGCTGTTAGAACTTGGCTTGTCTATCCATGGAAAGCTGGCAAATTCACAGATGAAACCCTTGCATGACAGTTTGGTTGACATGTTTGTGAAGATGAAAAAGAGCATGGGCATTCAGGTATTTAGTTTAAATATACATACAATAATTTTGCTATCATGCAGAATATATATTGTTTGTCTGTATGCCTTGTTTATTCATGACTCCTGCTCTACATTATGTCGTCTGTATATCTTCACATGCATATGTATGTTACCCTACTCGTTATTGCTTGATTCATTCATCTTCATGGCTCTCAATCATATATTACCCCACTTGTCAATACTGGATTCATTTATCTTCATAGCTTTTCTGTTTTTTTTAATACATTTTGTTTCATACTTTCTCATTCATTTACACATCATCTGTGTATCATCCCGCTCATTCATACATATCCTTTCATCTGCATGTCTTCCCTACTTGTATATTCTCTCACTCAGTTATGCATCTTCCCACTCCATCTTAATTCCATTGCACTCATATTTGTTTTCTACACATCTGCATTTCTGGCTTACATCTGCATTGTTTCCTGTAACCCATTTATTATCCCACTCATCAATGCCTTTTCACTAATCTGAATGACTTTGATACATTTACATATTTGTTCACTCATTCACTATCCAACTCATTTATGCCTGTTAAGTTGTTTCCCTGTATTCAGATATCTTTTAACTCATTTATATGTTTGGCTACTAACTTATGCCACATATCATCCCATTGATTTATGCCTTCCACTCATCTGCATGTCTTTCCTACATCTGCAGAAATACCTTCTGATTCATGTATCCTTCTAATTTATGATTTGTCACTTGTTTGCTTGTATTTTTCTATCTCATCACTCATGCCAATTTGTGTCCACTTATTTATAATTCTTCACTTATCGTTCCTTTGTAGCATATAAAGTCATCCCTATGGAATGCTTTTTTTTGTTTGTTTGTTATTTAAAGCCCCACCCTGGCTTTTGCCGGTGCCCTAACTATAGCCGGGCCATAAATATGGCCTAAGCCATAGATATGGCCTAATGGCTGAAAGGGATTTCTGGGACCTCTCCACGGGTGATCCTCATCTGCATGGTAGCACTTTGTGTCCCCGGGTGTTAATCGCATGTGTGATGTCCTGGTCGGGTACAACCGCCTACCTACCTACCTATCCTTCCTTTAAAACCAGTTTGTGCCACACGTCACATAATTACATGACAAAACATGTCATAGTCATTCATAAGTGCTGACCAGTGAATAAAAGAGCATGTGTGTATCTCCCCACGATTCATAGATTCTGTTTCAGACCATTGGAAAAATAACTGGGTTGATCCAAAATCCACTCAAAGAAGTTTAGAGAGCAATGATTCAGTTTCTTTTATTTGAAAGATGTCGACCAGGAATATTGCAGGCAGCATTTGGTAACACGTGTGTGTTAAAGATAACAGTGACAGACAGGGCGTGAATGTTTCAGAAAAGACTTGAGTTCATGACAGATTATCTACGGCTGGATCAAGCACACATTGTTGCAACAGAAAAAAAAAATCCACCAAAAGTGATGCAGCAATACAGGTGAACCGTTTGTCAGTTGAGGCAATTCAGAAGTTTGTTCATAAGAAACTGCAATATCGGCTGTTGTGTTCACAATGGGTACCATAGATGTTGACGTGGTAAACACTTGGTTCAGTGAGCAACCACAGTTGTTTTTTTTTTTTTTTTTTTTGCAGATGGTATCACGTATTCACCACTTACTAAAGAAATGGGATGCTTTCCTAAATGTGATAGTGACTTTTTTTTGTTGTGTGTGGGATTATACAGTGATGTGTAATTAGGTCACTACTTTTTCTTGCTATCTTTTCTAGAGACAATCTTTAATGATGACATTTTAGGATGTTTGTGTTTTTTTTTTTTTTTTTCAATTTCAAAACAAACAAATTAAAGTCAAAAAATTCTTCTCATCTCCAGAATTTGCCACCAAGGAATCGCGGGAGCACTGTTTCTGTAGACTCTGGAAGTCAGAGTGTGGGTGCACCATCTCAGATGTCTAGTGAAAGGTACATTTAATTTGTCATTTTTATCTGTATTTATTTGATGAGTACTGATTCAGAAAAAAGAATATGTTTTCTATAAACATTTGTGCAGCTCTATGGATTAGATGTTAGGAAATGTCTTTCACAATCCTCGATGTACCAGGGTTTGATTTCTCCAGTGGGTGGTTTGTTAATTTTTAACATTCAGCTTCAGATCATTAATTTTCTTAAGGTGTGTGGCAAAACTGAAAACAGCAGCATAAGAGACACAATCAGTTGTTTGTTTATGTTCCCATAATAATGTTCTGTAATATTTAATATTGCTCCCGGTTTGGTTCCGGTTGTGGTTTGGTTCAGGTTGTGGTTTGGTTCAGGTTGTGGTTTGGTTCCGGTTGTGGTTTGGTTCCGGTTGTGGTTTGGTTCAGGTTGTGGTTTGGTTCCGGTTGTGGTTTGGTTCCGGTTGTGGTGGTTCTGGTTCCAGGTTGTGGTTTGGTTAGGGTGGTTTGGTTCCTATTGTGGTTTGGTTCTAACCTTGTGGTTTGGTTCTGGTTCTGGTTTGGTTCAGGTTGTGGTTTGGTTCTGGTTGTGGT